TCAAGTATACGTTGGAGAACAATCGTTTTCTCTGTCCTACCAAATCTAGCACTTGGCCCATGCTAGATTTGGTAGGACAGAGAAATCGAATGTTGCTCAATATTCACTCCATTTCTCTGTGCTACAAAATCTAGCACTTGGCCAATGCTAGATTTGGGAGGACAGAGAAATCGAGTTTTGCCCAACATATACTTGATGATGGTCATAGAATAGAATTTGACAACCTTAAACTTATTAAGGAAGTTAAGGAACCAAGTCTGCAAGATAGTTATAAAGGTTTATACGTATATAAGAATAGAAATAAATCTTTCAATAGCGATAACGGACCGGTACCCTAGTCTAGTTTGTTTAAATTAGTTTGTTAGTTTTTCTTTACGTGTTCACTGAAGCGATTACGGTCCAGTGTCCGTTTACGGTTCAGACAACCTTAGCTTATAATTAGTATAAATATGGCAGATTTAGCATTTAGATTTAGTTACACTTCGTTTCTGAAGATGTCAACATCGTTGGCGGAAAGTAATTTAAGCACTTTGTGTTTTGTTTTGGTGTTGGGGAATATTTCTAATATTTGTTTAGGTCAAATTTTGGTTAAGTTGGAGAAGAAACTTATTCTTTATTTAAAGATTAGTTCCTTTACATCGTTTTTGTAGGTGATGTAGGTCAAAACTTTTTAGATTCTTTTTGTCAGGTCAAATCTTTAAAGTTGGAGATGGAACTTATTCTTTATTTATAGATTAGTTCTTTTACTTCGTTTATGATAGGGGTTGTAAGTCAAATTGTTATTAGATTCTTTAAGTTAAGTTAAGTTCAGTTTTTTTTTTGTTAGGGGTCGTAAGTCAAAACTTTTTTAGATTCTTTTTGTTAGGGCAAATCTCGTTTAAGTTGGAGATGGAACTAATTCTTTATTTAAAGATCAGTTCTTTTAGTTCGTTTTTGTTAGGGGTCGTAAGTCAAATTGTCATTAGTTTTTTTAAGTTGGATATGAAACGTATTCTTTTTTAAAGATCAGTTCTTTTTTTTCTTAGGGGTCGTGAATCAAAATTTTTTTAGCTTCTTTTTGTCAGCGCAAATCTTGTTTAAGTTGGAGATGGAACTAATTCTTTATTCAAAGATAAGTTTTTTTAGTTTGTTTTTATTAGGGGTCGTAAGTCAAATTGTCATTAGTTTTTTTTAAGTTGGATATGGAACTTATTCTTATTTAAAGATCAGGTATTTCTTTTGTAAGGGGTCGTAAATCAAAACTTTTTTAGATTCTATTTGTTAGGGCAAATCTTGTTTAAGTTGGAGATGAAACTAATTCTTTATTTAAAGGTTTCTTTTTTGTTCGCAAGTCAAATTGTCATTAGTTTTTTTAAGTTGGATATGAAACGTATTCTTTTTTAAAGATCAGTTCTTTTTTTTTGTTAGGAGTCGTAAGTCAAAACTTTTTTAGATTCTTTTTGTTAGGGCAAATCTTGTTTAAGTTGGAGATGGAACTAATTCTTTATTTAAAGATAAGTTCTTTTAGTTTGTTTTTGATAGGGGTCCTAAGTCAAATTGTCATTAGTTTTTTTTAAGTTGGATATGGAACTTATTCTTTTTTAAAGATCAATTCTTTTTTTTGTTAGGGGTCGTAAATCAAAACTTTTTTAGATTCTTTCTGTTAGGGCAAATCTTGTTTAAGTTGGATATGGAACTAATTCTTTATTTAAAGTTAAGTTCTTTTCGTTCGTTTTTGTTGGGGGGTCGTAAGTCAATTTTGTCATTAGTTTTTTAAGTTAAATATGGAACTTGTTCTTTTTTAAAGATCAGTTCTTTTTTTTTTCTTGGGGGTCATAAATCAACATTTTTTAGATTCTTTTTGTCAGCGCAAATCTTGTTTAAGTTGAAGATGAATTCTTTATTTAAAGATAAGTTTTTTTAAGTTGGGTATGGAACGTATTCTTTTTTAAAGATCAGTTATTTTTTTTGTTATGGGTCTTAAGTCAAAACTTTTTTAGATTCTTTTTGTTAGGGCAAATCTTGTTTAAGTTGGAAATGGAACTAATTATTTATTTAAAGATAAGTTCTTTTATTTGTTTTTGTTAGGGGTCGTAAATCAAAACTTTTTTAGATTCTTTTTGTTAGGGCAAATCTTGTTTAAGTTGGAGATGGAACTAATTTTTTATTTAAAATCAAGTTCTTTTAGTTCGTTTTTGTTAGGGGTCGTAAGTCAAATTGTCATTAGTATTTTTAGGTTGGATATGGAACGTATTCTTTTTTAAAGATCAGTTCTTTTTTTTTCTCAGGGGTCGTAAATCAAAATTTTTTTAGATTCTTTTTGCCAGCGCAAATCTTGTTTAAGTTGGAGATGGAACTAATTCTTTATTTAAAGTTAAATTCTTTTCGTTCGCTTTTCGTTTTCGTTGTTAGGGGTCGTAAGTCAAATTGTTATTCGATTCTTTAAGTTGGATATGGAACTTATTCTCTTTTTAAAGATCACTTCTTTTACTTCGTTTTTGTTGGGATCATAGGTCAAAATTTTGTTTAAATTCTTTTCGTCAGGTCAAATTTCAAGTTGGAGATGAAACCAATTCTTTATTTGTTCGCTTTTGGGTAGGTGAATATATTTTTTAAATACTTTTGTCGTTTAAGTCTGTTTTAGATAGTGATTATCCTATGGAACCAGGCGCCCAGGAGTTTCCTATAAAACCTTCCTTTTTATTCCTTCCATTTAGACCCATTTTAGTTTAATTTCAGAATCTTCAGATTGTGGAATTAAATTAAAATGGTAGATGGATCTTGAAAGAACTTTCTGGATTTTGTCTCGGAACATCGGTAATCCGTGCCAACCCGTTTTTAACGTGGAGCATGTTGTTGCGCACCGGCGCTAATCTATTTGTAACTTAATTATCTGTCGTTTTCCTTTTCTACCCTTCCTATTACCCTAATTCCTTCGATTGGACCTGACATGGACATCTTGGACTTCTTGGAACTTCAGGGTGCGAGTGAATCTTATATGCGAGTATGTATACAACCAGTAAATTTGTTTTTTGCCTGTTTTTCTTTATTTAAATACTTTATGTTTTAGGAAATTTTAGGTACATAATATGATGAGGAGGGTGGAGGGTAACTCCGCCAGGTATTTTTAACCTGCCGGTCCCAAGCCCGGATAAAGGAGGAGGGCCCTCACTCTTTTCTATTTTTTTTAGATTGTTTTCGTCGGGTCAAATCTTTTTTAGGTTGTAGATGGAACTTAGGTGGTTTTTGTCAGGTTGGAACTTTTTCTTTTTTAAAGATCAGTTTTTTTATTTCCTTTTAGTCCCTTGTTTAGGTAGGAAAGACTTCCTATTTAGCCCCTTGTTTAGGTAGGAAATTGAACTTAATACTATAAAGTACATAAGTCAAATCTCTTTTAGGCAGGGTTCCCAGACAGCAATATGACGTCTTAATTAAGTCTGCATAAGCTCTATTTTATGATTTGGACTTCAAATACAACATTAGAAAGAAGTTTTTAAGAAGTTCTTAAGACTTCGAATGCGCCACCTATTGAACTAATCAAGACTTCTCAAAAAAGAACTCTTGAGGAACTTTTTTTAATACAAAAAACAAAGAAGTTACAATCAAAAATGCTACTTTTTTGTGATAAAAAATATCCGCTAGACAATATTATTTTTGGTTCAAGCAACTAAAAAATACAACTTTCTCATCTTAATCATTAAAAATTTGTTTATTTGCCCTAAAAAAGTCTAAATATAATATTAAACTTACAATAAAGTGACAGAACCATATTTTTTTATTAACTTTAATACTCTGTATGTTGAAAACAAAGCTTTAGAGCTTACAAGTTCTTATACCTACATTTTTCTTCCTATTTTTGTAAGTTCGATTACAAAATTTTCACGAATAAAATCTGGTAATACAGGTACAATTTATTATTATATTATTACAATTTATTATTATATTATGTTCTGTGATTGCCGTGCCGCCAATTTTAAGTTAAGCGGCACGGCAGTGATGACGTTTTTTATCTATTACGTCACTAGCGTGCCCGTAAAAAATAAATTGCAGGCACTCTAACGTGCACCTAGTCACTTCGTTATTTATTAGCTAAAGATTACATTAATTATTATTGCTTTTAGAAGCAGTAATAGTTTGACAATAACTAGCAACATGATTTAAGTAGAAATGAATGTTTGCTATTACATTGAATTCAATTAATTGTTTAATAAATAGGTAGGTATCTAATTTCAATTTGTTTGGATTTTTATTTAAATAGGTAGTTTGGAATGTTTAAGCTGTGTTTAACATTTAATTTCACTGAAAACTTAAAGCAAATTAAAACTTAAAGATAATTTAAATCGTAGAAAAAGAATCGTGCGTTTTCTTGGTTGCCTAACCTTACTTTTTGTTTTATTATTCATATTTAATTTTACAATAATTTAATGAAAAATATTAAACATTAACAGTAAAACAAACAAATTAGTGCTTATTATAAATAAATTAAACCAGTTTAGTACGTTAATTTCTTTGAAAAGGATTAATTTGTCAAAACAATACCCCTAGCGAGAAAAAATCGAACTAATTACTTGCCTCATAAAATTTTTTATCAGCCTAGCCCTAACAAGGTATTTCTTTATCGAATGTTGACAACAATAAAGTTTAAATTGGAGATAAAATATTTTATTTCAAAATCCATTATTAAAAACATTTGACTGAAAAACCAAAATTAAATTTTTCTTAGCTCTTTTTTCATATTTCTTACTTGGTATTTACTTTAAAACAATATTTTTTATTTCATTATTTATAAAGGTATTTATATATCATTAATAATATTTTCTTGAAATGTTAATATTGCGACAATTTAATCTAAATTTTATAAGAGAATATTTAAATTAAAATTATTTAAATTCAAAGGCGGGAATGAAGAACATACCTTGTTTTCTTGTAACATGGGTTATAAAGATAGATAACCTCAATTATTTGACTGCATGCATTAATTTTTTTATGTGAAGCACAGGTACCTAAAATAATATTTTTACCTTTGGTATAACTGGCATAATTCTTTGCAAAATATCATCATCCTTATAATTAGTAATATGTTTAGGTTTTCTTATATTCCCTTGATGAAATATGCTATAAAAACCATCATTTATAATGGCATTGCTGTGAGACATGCTTACATCCAATTTCTACAAATAAAAAAACAATAATTGTTTTAATTGCAACATAATTGATTTTACCTCCACAGAAAGTGGCCCTTGAGCCACCAAGATGGTCTCCATGGAAATCCCAAAGCTAAACTCAGCCAATTTAGTTTCATAGGTTTTGTTTTCGGCATGCCTCAAGACTTTAGCTGACGCTTCCAGTAAATTTAAGGTAACTAGAAGCGATTTAGCGTTCTTGAGGATGCTGCCGTCTAAATGCAACTCGCTGGCCGTTGCATGTATCAAAAAACCTGGCGTTTCAGATCTTAGAAGCATAGCTGATATGTTGTAGATGTGTACAGCCATAAACTTCAACAAAATAATGTTAATTTGTTATTTAGATGGTGTAACTAGTCGCTTACTTGCGCAAAGGTGTTAATAAAATGCGGTACTTTCTTATTCCTAAACTCAATAGGCTCTTTTCGATCGACTTGAGTGTTATCGATGGAATCATCATTTAAGCTAATATCCTTATTAATTCTAACGTCTTTCACAACCAGCGTTATTAACTTTGTTAGCTCTGAGTTAAGAAAACTACTTTTAATGCCTATTTCATCTATTTGCTGCAATCCAACACAAAAACATTTTTGGTTAACTATATAGGTTATAATGCGTTACTCACAATGGTAAATCCATTTTTTGATATTTGAATATCACATAGTTTCAAGTACGCCAAGTTAATTCTTCCTATCCTAGTAAAAACCTTATATTTTCTTTCTATAAGCCAAGAACATATAATGGGCAATATCCTGAAAAACACTTTTAAAACACTGAACCAACAAATATTCGATTAACAAACCATGTAATACTTAAAAATGAAATTAATAAAACGAGAAAAAACACAAATAATCCCTCCATTATTTTAAAATTCGATAATTATTGCTATACATATTTACAATTTTGATGACAGCTGTCAGATGATGAAATTTAAATTTCAAAACGCCAACCGTATAAAACGAAAGTTAAATAAGCATGGGCGGCGTCATTTTGTTTTAAAGAAGGGTAAATAAAACAAGAAATAAATAAATAGCTCTGTATTATGTGCATATCATATATTGTGTGTGAAAATAGTTTTTAGTGTGTTTATGGCTTCCTTGTTGGCTGTTTTTTGGGCTTCCAAAGCTGTTAATCTCGATACAGCGCTGTAAAGTGACGTGGATTTTTCCGGTACAAGTCTTTCCAGCACTTTATGCATGTTAATTTTTAGGTTATCATGGTATAAATCCACGACTTCATGTATTTTCGACAGATCCTCTTCTGCGGCAATTGAGGTTAGGTGACCAATAGCTAAACAAATCTAATAAAAAATAAAACAATAAAAAACATTTTTTTAATGGATTTATTTACTTGTTCCACCAGGTTATCCCTGTGCTTGTATTCGTTGAAATCCTCCATGTTTTGGGAATTTTCCAGCGCTTTCAGCAATGATAGCCAAATAGGTTGGTAGTATGAGTTGTAGTTTTCCCGCAGTGGCGGCGACATCAGGGCGAGAGCCGCGTTTATCCTGACTTTAAAGTTTTTAAAGCCAATCACCAGTTCTGTCAGAACAGTGAATACAGAGCTCTAAAAATATTTTTTTATACCTATTGTAATTCTGCTACCCCCTGTACATTTGCTTAAAAAAATTACCTGCCATTTTAAAGATGGACTGTACAAAATGGGGTTCTTAAGGGCCTTTCCAATGGCGTAACACGCATTCCATCTCACCTTATTTTATAAAATAATAGAATTATTATTGGGACACACTGTATGATAATTTTATTTTCAGTACCTTCATGTTGGATCCAGTGTTAGATGCTTTCACCAGAGCGCTAAAAGCATTGTCCAAAATGGTTTTGTAACTCAAATTTTGCTCGAAATTGTCGCTAAAGAGTTGCAAAAGATTCCCTAAAGCCCTCATAGCGTTCATTTTGATTTTGTCGTTATCTTTGGCGCCGCCTACACTGGCCTCCAAAAGTTTTAGAAGCAAATCCGGGGGGAGGTCTTCATCGGACTGTAGTTTAGAGCTACAACGACATTTTTCGTTATTATTACATTGACTAGGTAACACTGTTCCTTACTGGTTTAAAAATAATGCATCACTTAGATTTCCCAGCGACCAAGACGCCTTAACTCTCACATTAAAGTTGGTATCTTTTAGGGACCTGTGGATTGCTTCTGCGGTGTCCACCACAAATCCTGTGTCCTTAAAATAACTTGGACTTAAGTGGCTTTAGTTATAATATATGATATTGAACTTCAATAATTAAACTGCTGCGTTTTTTTTTAATTCCTTTTAAAAATCTTGTTTTACATGTTAAAATATAAATCAAGTTTAATTTTGAACTATATATATACAGGGTGTCCTAAAATTGGTCCAAAGGGTTAAGGTAAATTCCTCTTGAAATTCCAAGATGAGTGTTCCTTTTATTTTTTTTATTCGAAAAATTGCGGAAGTTATGTGTACACATAAAGTTAATTGTTAAATAAAAATGATTGTTGTCTTACAAATGAGAAATTGAAAGTTAAAAAATAATTATTATTGTAAAATCTTGTTTAAAAAAAATTGTTCAACGTAAAAAAATAAAGAACCTCATATGGTTAAGACTAGTTCTTTTTTTAGACATATTTTGGTTTAGTTTAACTTTTGATATTACTTTTTGGTATGTATTTTTTAACCAACAAGTTATATTTTACCGATTTGGTCCTGGTTTATACTAATGTTTTTATTATTGACGTTATAAGTACATTTAGAAAAGTAAAAAAATAAGAAAAAAACTTGTTTGAATTTTTTTTTTTAATTATGAGTTTTTCCCACTTTTTTAGGATTTGTTCTAATTTTTTTGTTAAAAGTAATTGGGGTTAAAAATTATTTTAAAAATCTGAATTTTTGGGATTGTATAAAAGTAAGAAAAAACATCGTTTGATTTTTTTTTTAATTATGAGGTTTTCCCACTTTTTTAGGATTTTTTCTAATTTTTTTATTAATAGTAATTGGGGTTAGAAATTAATTTAAAAATCTGAATTTTTGGATACCTTTAGGATAGTAAAAAATTAAGAAAAAACCTAGTTTGAATTTTTTTAAATTATGAGTTTTACCCACTCTTTTAGGATTTGTTCTGGTTTTTTTTAAAGTGGTCGGGACTCAGGTTAAAAAATAATTTAAAAATCTGAATTTTTGGGATAGTAAAAAAGTAAGAAAAAACCTCGTTTTAATTTGTTTTAATTATGAGTTTTCCCACTTTTTTTAGGTTTTTTTCTAATTTTTTTTATTAAAAGTAATCGGAGTTAAAAATTAGTTTAAAAATCTGAATTTTTGGGAGTACCTTTAGGATAGTAAAAAAATAAGAAAAAAACTCGTTTAAATTTTTTTTTTAATTTTGAGTTTTTCCCACTCTTTTAGGATTTGTTCTAATTTTTTTAATAAAGGTGGTCGGGGCTCAGGTTAAAATTAATTTAAAAATCTGAATTTTTGGCATAGTAAAAAAGTAAGAAAAAACCTTGTTTGAATTTTTTTTAATTATGATTTTTTCCCACTTTTGTACGATTTTTTCTAATTTTGTTTATTAAAAGTAGTATTAATTGAGGTTAAAAATTAATTTAAAAATCTGAATTTTTGGGAGTACCTTTAGGATAGTAAAAAAGTAAGAAAAAACCTCGTTAAATTTTTTTTTAAATTATGAGTTTTTCCCACTCTTTTAGGATTTGTTCTAATTTTTGTAATAAAAGTGGTCAGGGCTCAGGTTAAAATTAATTTAAAAATCTGAATTTTTGGGATAGTAAAAAAGTAAGAAAAAACCTCGTTAAATTTTTTTTTTAAATTATGAGTTTTTCCCACTTTTTTAGGATTTTTTCCAATTTTTTAATAAAAGTGGTCAGGGCTCAAGTTAAAAATTAATTTAAAAATCTGAATTTTTGGGATAGTAAAAAAGTAAAAAAAAACTAGTTTGATTTTTTTAAATTATTTGTTTTTCCCGCTTTTTTTATGTTTTTTTAAATTTTTTATTATAGTATTTGGGGTTAAAAATTAATTTAAAATTCTGAATTTTTGGGAGTAGCTTTAGGATAGTAAAAAAGTAAGAAAAAACCTCGTTTTAATTTTTTTTTAAATTATGAGTTTTTCCTACTCTTTTAGGATTTGTTATAATTTTTTTAATAAAAGTGGTCGGGGCTCAGGTTAAAATTAATTTAAAAATCTGTATTTTTGGGATAGAAAAAAAGTAAGAAAAAACCTCGTTTGATTTTTTTTTAATTATGAGTTTTTCCCACTCTTTTAGGATTTGTTCTAATTTATTTAATAAAATTAATTTCAAAATATGAATTTTTGGGATATTATTTTAATTATTTTTTACATTTCAAACATTTTTGATTAAAAAGTAAATCTTGCTTTTTTATTTGAGAAAACTCATCCTCATATTAATGTATTTTATTGCTTCAAAGTTTGATTTTAAGAGAACAAAATAGTATTTTCTTAAAAGTGACTTTAACTATGAAATAATCTACAAAATATTTTAGAGAGATGTAAAAATAATCTTAAAATTATCAAAGCTTACCTCTCTTAAAGAAGGGTACAGTACACAATGGGCCAAAGCTCTCACCGCTGCGCCTCTAACAATATTTTCGTCATCTCTGGCGCAAGAAAACAGCAATGTCACGCACAAAATTTGTTTATCTCTCTGTAAAACAAAAAATTACATTACATTATACTGCCGTGCTTAATGAAAACGCCGTAACCAACAATTTTGCGATTTTTGTTTTACGGCATTTTCTACTAGAGCAATTCATCCTGCGTCTATTTCCGGTAATAAAAAAACCATATATATATAGATACGGTTTTTTGAGTACCGGGGATAGACGCAGGATGAATTGTTCTAGTAGAAAATGCCGTAAACCAAAAATCTCAAAATTGTTGGTTACGGCGTTTTCATTAAGCACGGCAGTATAATGTATACAAGCAAACAAATTTCATTTCTACTGGCAAAACTTACAGGCAACTGTTCAAACACCAACGGACCGATACTGCTGATGCAGTCGCAACCGACCGACCTTAACACTCCGTGCTCTGCATTCTGCAGCAACGTCAGCAAGGGCCCGTTCAACAGAATCTGCCAGAAGTTGGCGCATTTTTCCAGCTGCACCACCTTTTTCGCCTCTAAAACGTATATTATATCACCTCTTCCACTGGGTACTATGCTCCACACCTCAAAGTCCCACCACGTGACCACGTACGGAACGCAGTCTTTTGAAAATTTGGCATTTAAGGCTTTTCAGGTTATGTATCTGTCAAAGTATAGTCAACGAAAGAAATAATATTATGTTTAGGCGTTAAAAAGTATAAATCTTTATAACATTACAATAACAATGGATGGTTTAGGAATTTCAGAATATAAATACTGCATTTAATGAAATTTTAAAGTGTATGGTGCCAAATAAGTAATATTTTTGTGCATTTGGTCCAAATATCTGGTTTTCTCCATAAAATAGTTTTACCTAAACAGCATTTATTAAAAAAAAATCTAGCTTCTCTATTATGGAATAAGAATATCTGTTTTAAAGGTAGGTTAAATATTATAACAAAAATATCATCTAGTTTTGTAATTTTAAGGTTAGAAAAATTTATTTTGACCAAAATAAATAAATATTTTGGATTATTTAAAAGACTGTATAATATGTTATGTAAAAATGTGGTAGTTTTTCTTATCCAGCTTAAAGTGTACCTACATAAAGTTTTGTCAATACAAATAGTTAAAAAGCTTTGACTGAACTTGATCTACATCGAAAAATCATTATAACTTTAAAAAATTTAATAAATCACATGTCATGGGAGTATTCAAAATTTTCACATTGCAAGTTTCTCTAAAAATTGTTTGTTTTCTTATAATCTAACTTAAAGTAGGTATGCCGAGAGGTATGCACAAGTTCTGTCATTAGAAGTATAAAAGCTTCAATTTCATTTGAACTATATACAACAATTATTTAGTATACCTATATTTATTTATGACCATATTAACACTCTTCCAAATAATCCACTTATTTATTTTGGTCAAAATAGATTTTTCTAACCTTAAAATACAAAATTAGATGATATTTTTTGTTCAAATACATTAACCTACCTTTGATACAGATATTCTTATTTCATAATAGAGAAGTTGTATTTTTTTAATAAATGCTGTTTAGTTAAAACTATTTTATGGAGAAATGTAGACCCAATGCACAATAATATCACTTATATTGCACCTTACACTTTGGAATTTCATTAAATGCAGTATTTATATTCCTAAATTCTTAAACCAACCATTGTTATTGTGATACTATAAAGATTCATTAAGTTTTAACGCTTAAACATAAGCGGTATCACTATAAATATTATTTCTTTCGTTGACTATACTTTGACAGATACGTAACCTGAAAAGCCTTGAATGCCAAATTTTCAAAAGACTGCGTTCCGTACGTGGTCACGTGGTGGGACTTTGAGGTGTGGAGCATAGTACCATGCTCGCAAACTTACCTTCGCAGCTTAGCGCTCTCGTTACGGCCTGCCCTATGAAGTCCAGGGTGAGACCGGCGTGCAGTTGCACGTCAAAGTACCGATCGTTCAGGGCGTTTTCCAGCACTTTGACGATCAGATCGAGACGCTGAGTCATCGTTTTCTCGAAGTAGTTCCTGCTCAGAGCCGACAGAACCTGCAGAGACTCAAGTTTGACGGGAGCGTGGACGAAGTTCAAGTTTTGGCTCTCCAGGTTCGAACCCAGGTTGTCGAGGCATTTGTCGAGCAGCCACGATATGGGGTTCCCCGGCGATTCATCTTCTTCTTCGTCGTCGGAGGAAAAATCTACCACGTCGAAGTCGTCGTCGGTTGTCGTCTTGCTTTTGTTCTCGTCGGGTTCTCGATTGTCGTCGGCTTTTTGTTCCGCTTGGAGTTTCGTTATGGCCTGCACCGTTTCCGGTACGGTGGGTTCGGAGGCTACGACGCAGCCCAACACGATAAGGGCTGCCACTTGAATAGTGGAGTCTGAATAAATTGACAAAAATTTGTTATTGTCATTCTAAATCGTGTTTTTAACATTCTAAAATTATTCTAAACAAAATAATTTTTACATCCTTGTAGTCTTTTCGTTTTAAAATGTGCTTTTGGCATTTCAAAAAAATCTTGACAGAATAATTTGTATGTCCTTAAACTCTTGACATTTTAAATGTGTTATTGTAATTCCAAATTGTGTTTTTGTTATTCTTAAATAGATCTTGACAAAATAATTTGTATATCCTTATAGTCTTGACATATTTAATATATTTGTCACTTTAAAATGTGTTTTTGTCGTTCCAAAATGTGTTTATGACATTCAAAATGTATTTTTGTCATTTCAAAATTAATATTCACAAAATAATTTGTCTATCCTTATAGTCTTGACATATTTAATATATTTGTCGTTTTAAAATGTGTTTTTGTCGTTCCAAAATGTGTTTTTGACATTCGAAATTGGGTTTTTGTCACTCTTAAATTAATCTTGACATATTTAATATATTTTGTCATTTTAAAATGTGTTTTTGTCTTTCCAAAATGTGTTTTTCACATTTGAAATTAATTTTAACAAAATAATTTTTAAATGTGTTTTTGTCATTCCAAATTGTGTTTTTGATATTCTTAAATAGATCTTGACAAAATAATTTGTATATCCTTATAGTCTTGACATATTTAATATGTGTTTTTGTCACTCTTAAATTAATCTTGACAAAATAATTTTTATATGCTTATAGTCTTGACATAATTAATATATTTTGTCATTTTAAAATGTGTTTTTGTCTTTCCAAAATGTGTTTTTGACATTTGAAATTATGTTATTGTCACTTTCAATTGTGTTTTTGACATTCTTAAATTAATCTTAACAAAATAATTTTTAAATGTTTTTTGTTGTTCCAAAATGTGCTTATGACATTCAAAATGTGTTTTTGTCATTTCAAAATTAATCTTCACAAAATAATTTGTATATCCTTATATTCTTGACATATTTAATGTATTTGTCGTTTTAAAATGTGCTTTTGCCGTTCCAAAATGTGTTTTTGACATTCGAAATTGTGTTTTTGTCACTCTTAAATTAATCTTGACAAAATAATTTTTATATCCTTATAGTCTTGACATATTTCATATATTTTGTCATTTTAAAATGTGTTTTTGTCTTTCCAAAATGTGTTTTTGACATTTGAAATTATGTTATTGTCATTTTCAATTGTGTTTTTGACATTCTTAAATTAATCTTAACAAAATAATTTTTAAATGTGTTTTTGTCAATCAAAATTGTGTTTTTGTCATTCTTAAATAAATCTTGACAAAAAATTTACTTCTTCATGGTTTTGACATTTCACAATGTGTTTTTTACATTTTATAATCGGTTTTTGTCATTCTAAATTGTGTTTTTATCTTGACAAAATAATTTGTATATCCTATATAAGGATATTTTTATATTTTAAAAATATAGTTCATTACAAAATGTGTTTTTGACATTCAAAATGTGCTTAAATAAGTTTTAACATTTCAAAATGAGCTCTTGACATTTTAAAATGTTTTTTGTCATTCTGAAATGTCAATAAATCTGACATTCTTAAATATTGTTATTGTTTATTTTCAGGGAAAAAATCATGAATTTTTAAGTACTATTTTAAATAAATAAAAATACGTAAATATTATATCCTACCTTTATGAAATATAAAAGGCTTGGTATTCCTCACAACTTTGGTTATCAAACCTTTGGGCAACTTATGGTAGGGGCTGGCCTGCACTAAAGCTGCCATACACTTTAAAATTTGCGTCACAACCGGTATGGAGAAGTCGTTTAAAGCTAAACATAGACCTTTATGTAGCTCTATCAAAGTCAACCCTAGAGTGACGGAAAAAGGCGTAAAAGAAGTGCTCCTATCGCTGAAAGGTTAAAAATTATTAAACATTTTTTTTATACAATTGTTGTGGTTTTTAAACCTCATTTCAGCCTGTAATAAATATAATTTTGAGGATGTCAATAGTTGTAGCAGAACGGTTAGGGCCAAAATGCGCCCTCTGGTGGATGGATCTTTAAGTATGGATGAAATTAGGTTATGTTTGCCTTTATAGGTGACTTCTGGGATAAAACTCAACCAATAGTTAAAAATAACTGATTTATCGGTGTGCTAAAATTTGTTTTTTAGTGAAATAAATAAATTATGGGTGTTTTTGTTACTTTTAAAACATTGATAAAGAAATTTAATCCAGCCTGTCTGACTCTACCTTGAGTGAAGGCTATTTTGGCCAATTTACCGTTTTCTGTGTCTGAGAAATCGGAATCGCTTGTTTTGAGTCTATTATTGCCTGAAACACTGTCAAAAATTTGTATTTGTTTTGTTTAATTGTGTAATTCAATTTACTTATTATCAGAATTATATTCTAAAGTAGCTGTGGCTGGAGTATAGCCCCTGTTTCTATTATCTGGAGTCCACTCTTCAGAGATTCTGCTTTCTTTTTTGTCGCCTCTCATTTTTGGTTTCCTTTGTCTAGTTAACTAAAGTCCAGAAAATAGAAGTTTTCTAGCATGAAAAAATTATTTTAATTTACTTACTTTCCCGCCTTTTTTCTCCCTCAAGTTGGAACTGGCAGTCTCTGGGATGCTCAAGGCAGTTGGCATCAATTTTTGAGGTACCATAAACTCAATACCACCAACACCATAGAGCATATAACTCCTAATTATACCCAAAATATTACCCAACTCCCTTTTTAGATAATCTGGGTTTTGGGTTATGATATTTTGCAGCCCATTTAAGCAAATAATTAGTATCTACAAAATATACAGGATGTCTTTTATATTATAAAATCTTTACAAATAATATTTAAATAAATAAATACCTTGACATAAATGAGTTGATCACAGTCATATGGCTTATTACTTAAATAATAAGTAAAAACTTTGGAACAAATCTGTAAATGCAGCTGAAAATTATCGCTCTCTCCCCCCACTTCATTTTTATTGGTCTCATTAACAATCGTACAAGCCTCCAGACACTTTATGGCCGTAAAAATAATATCATCACCTTTACCACCCTTAACCTCACTTATCAACTGATTAATATCCTTTGTTACAATATCCACCAACTAAAATTAACCATAAAAATTGTCCAATAAGACTTCCAAAAAAACACTTACATGCAGGTCTAATTTCGCGCTATTTCTTATAAGAGCGTCCAAAGATTGCAAAACGTTCACCAACACGGCGCTGTCTTTGTATCTCAAGCATTGCAAACACCACTGTACTGATATTGTTAGTGTTCGTCCTTCGACAACCACTTGTTGCTTATTAACCAAATTACTCAACAATTGACTGCATTTTTGTATCAAAACGCCGTCGTCAGTCGGTATAAAGGAACAACACTGATTAATCAAGAGGACTGCTTTCTGAAATACAAAAAAACACCAGTAAAGTAAGAATGTTAGGTTAGGTTTCCAAAAAACATTACCGTGTGGTTTAGGGCGATGCTGTGGCCGTAATTCAAGGAATTCAACTCACTCAAAGTTTGATGTATCACGCTTCTATCGCCTTCGGTGCGTCCAAACAGTAATTGCGTGATTTTTTGTGACAGATTGCTGAAAATTTCTTGTTGGTTAGCTGCGGCAGCCATGATTTATTTGAAGAAGTGTCAAACGGCAGTGCTACCAGCCCTACAAAAGTAAAACTAAAATTGGAGGTTTGTGTAATCCTGGTTGCATACTAATTTTGAAAATTGTACTGTTTTGACGAATAATCCCTGATTTTGTGAATAAAAAGGCTTTTATTTAGTATTTGAGTTTACGGTGGGTTAAAACAATGTTTATTGTGAGAAATAGTCATTTTAGTAAATATTACGCTTTTGGTTTTGGGGGTTGTTTTTGAATATACGATAGTTGCATTGGTAGAAGTGTAACAGGCAGTGTTGCCAGATGTACTAGATTTTTAGTATACTAAGAATCTCTTTAATAAATTTATTAACTTAAAATTGTTTTTATAGGTATTATATTTTTTTAAATGTCTATTTTTACAAATAATATACATTATTATAAATATCTAGAAACAAACACAAAATGCATCCATAATAAATATACAGGGTGTTTTTTGGTTTCTACTCAAAATTGACAACGTAACTATAGTTTGGTCTGTAGATTTCATTGAGACTCACTTTTTTCAAACAAAAATTTTGTTTTCGAATTATCGGCCTTCTTTTGTTTTTACATAAACCTTTTTTCTTCGTTAATTATGGCCGTTTTTAAAAATGCTTGACATAAAAATTGTAGATATTAAAATGGCAATTCCAATAAAGTTTAGTTCCTTAAAATTAGGCCATAAAGAAAAAAGTTAAAGAGGTTTAGGTCAAAACAAAAGAAGGTCGATAATTCGAAAACAAAAGCTTAAATTAAAAATAATTGGAAAAAAGTTTTAGTTTTGATGAGATCTATAACCTCTATGCATTCTTAAAATTTTTTTTAACACCAAAGAAAATCCTTTTTTTCTTCTTTAACATTAACAGCTTATTGTAAATAATTAAATTATGGACGGCATGGCGAATCGATTTTGACATTAACTGTCAAACCAATGTGATACCAACTATCTAAAGTAAAATTGGACCAAATTAAATTTAAGGTAAAAATTTTTTGCAAAATAGATAAAATAGCATAAAGAACTCATGTTATAAGACATGATTTTGAGGTTATGTTTGTTCAAAAATTATTTTTTACTAATTTCTTAAAAATGTCCAAACTTAAATATAAATTATATTAGGTAAAGTTACCATTAGTTAATTCTGCACCAACAAATGTATTTACCGAATTGGATCCTTTGGCAAAACATGAAAATGCAACGATTTAGTTCTTGAATTTAATTTACAATTAAAAACACTTCACCATGATCCCTTAGATAAAATGCACATACTAGGAATAATCAATCGAAATCGAGTACTAAAGAAGTTTTTTAATTTTTTCCTTGCAACGTAAAACACAAATAACGTGCTCGATTTAGCTGTGCAGTTGAACAAAATTTGTCGTGTAAGACTTCTGCCTTCCTCTCTTTTGTGAAAAACTATCTATTTATTTGTCAAAATCATGTTTAAGAATGTCAAAACCATATTAGAAAACGCCAAACTTTCAAAATAATTTCAAAAAATATTGAAGAGTGTTAAAAATCCAATATTCAAGCAATTTTAGAATGTTAAAAACATATTTAAGAATGTCAAACTCACTTAAGAATGTCAAAAATACAGTACAGAATTTAACACATTTAAGGTTGTCAAACAAATTAAAGAATGTCAAAGTGGTGTTTTTAATGTCAAAATCATATTTATAAATGTCACAATCAATTTTTAGACCGTAAAAAGCATAAGATTAAGTCCATATTCAATTTTAACATAATTATTTTAAAATCAATATATTAGGAAAAACATTACAGTATACTGTAATGTTTTTCCTGTATACAGACCATAGAAAAAGGATATACAGTACAGACTGTATTTATTTGTTATTTTACGTAACATTTGTTATCTACAACTTTTGTGTTTTTAGTTTTTTCCTATCTGTTATAATAAACTCAGTATGCGCTGTTTTAATTTAATATAGGTACAGAATAACTTCTGTCATGTCATGTCTTTTTTTTATGCTATTGTACAATACAGTTGAAATCAAAATGTCCCAGATGAGCATAAGAGTGGTAGAGCTGGCAACGGTGTAAACAGCTGTTGAACGAAAAAGGTCGATGCGAGGCGTGGATGTTGCCGAGAGCATTCGCCAATCCAGTCCGTTTTTGACAGTTTCGCGGCCGCCAGACTGGATAAAATTTTCGCCAGTACCCTGTGCGCATCAGGGACGGAACGTAGCCGCTGTGTGAAAAGCGTAACCAAGAAAACAACAAGGGACCGTCGCCCCGCACTATTATGTAACTCCCCGATGCCCGCCTGCTATCCGTTGTGACCGGTGTTCTAGTGCGAGACAGTGCGGGTCGCGAGTGCCATGTTTTTCTAGGCGACTTGTGCAAGTGATCGCGCAAAATGGCGGACTTAGAGGCGGTTTTGGCCGATGTCAGCTACCTCATGGCTATGGAGAAGAGCAAGTGCACGCCGGCCGCGAGGGCCAGCAAGAAAATCGTCCTGCCCGACCCCAGGTTAGTCCTCGGCGGGTCAATAAACCCCCGCGCCCTCGCACAGCCGCCTGCGAAGTCTTCGGCCGATTGTTGTTTTTTAATTTCACCTCACTAACTTATTTTCCTTGACCCATTTGATATGCTCCGTCTGACAAGACGAGAAGTAAATATTTTGGTGCATGTCGAACGCACTCTCAAGGCGAATTATTATTAAAGTTGATAATAAACGTCAAATTCAGGAAAAATGACAATCTAAACAAATATGCGGAATTCTTATGAATCATTTATCTATGAATATAGAAATAAATTGCTGAAGGACGAATATTATTACCTTAATATTTATTTAAATTATGATTAAAAACTTTTAAATTATAATGAATAATTTGGCAAATATTTACCCACGAATTTCTCACGGCACAAGGTTGACAGATGTATTTTTTGACAGTTCGCGTCAAAATATCAACTTTAATCATCATAATCAACCAATTTAAACTTTTATTTTTTAAACGTCTTCAAAAAATTGTTTCCCATCCTTTCATAGGTATAAACAAATAATCTTAAATCATATAAATAACAAAAATAGAATGGGTATCTAACTTAAGGAAATATCGTCATTTGAAGATTTTGATAAATTAATAAAAAAACAGCAGGCCGCGAGCAAATCCAGCGGTACCAATGTAGTAAAAAATAGTATATTATGTATCAAGTTTGATAAACGCCATTTTATACACGAATTTCATTTAGGCACGAGCGAGCTTGCGAGCGAGTGCTTAAGTTAATGAGTGTATAGAAAAGTTTATAAACGAGGTGCATACTATACTTTTTCTACGACAAATACCTACTTATTATTATCTTAAAATGATTTAAATCAAAAATTTGTATAGAGCGCCATCTATGAAACAACAGGGGAAACTGTCAAATGTCACATTTTTACATTTTATAAACACAATTATAAAGGTTATAAATCGAAATGTATTTCTTGAAAATTGACAGTTTTTCACAGTGAAAGTAAAGGAAATGTTTTATGAGGACTTTACAGTAAAGTCCGTGCCCGAATTAAAGTTATAGTTTACTGCCGGCGAAATTAAAAGGTCAGTACAATAGGCGTTGAGAAACTATTTAATACTTTTGTATTTTTGTATTGAGATAATAAAATAATTTTTACATTTAGTATTATTTTACAAGAAAGGCACTTTATTTTAACGATTGTATGACATTTGACAACTGTCAACTAACTTAAAACTAACTTCAGCCCGTGACTAAAGCGCCGTAAAGCCACAACTTGTCAATGTGTATGTAAAAGGTCACTTAGTGTCATGGAAACATGTACGTTAAAGGGCGTTTTTAAGGTGGGAGTAGAAAAACGTATTTTAATTAACAAATTAATGCTTTATTACCATTTAAAAATTGATTATTTAGTGAGATACCTACCTACAAAATAAAAAAAATGGTTTTAAAATCATTTTCTTGAAATCTGTGCTGTGAAAAAATCCGAAATTATTTCTGAATGCCTCACAAAATCATAGATTAAATTTTGAAGAAATTCTTCAATATACTTTTTTGTATTTTCAAGCAGTTTTCCTTGCTTTCTGTTTGGAATTTATATCAGGGTTTTCCATGATTATGTACCGTTTTTAATCTCTCCTTGTGATAAAGTTTATTCACCAGCGATGATAAGCGTAGGTATAATAGCGTTTTATGTAAATAATTGAGGTTATGTATTTCAGTTTAGCGCTAATTTCGTCGTTATTTTCTGAAAATATTACAATATACAGTGTGACCCATTTGTCACCCCTGAAAAATATTTATTTATTGTGCGATTTTAACCGGATTTGTTTTAAAATGTAGATCTTGATAAACTGTATTTTTTGGAGCAAACGACGCCATATTAATACAAAATACAAGGCCTAGTAGGCCTGGCCTACTATGTCAGTTTTTAAGAGTAAATTTTTAAGAATTCATATTAGCGATTTTTTTAAACAAAATATAAGCACGGCACTGGATTCACTACCCCTCAAAACTATCCTATACTAAATTTTATTGAAAAATTTTAAGAAGAGTTTTTTAGAAAAATATAAAAATGGTTGATTTTAAGGTTATGTTTGTGTAAAAGTTATGTTTTACTAATTTCTTAATAATGTCCAAACTTAAATATAAATTATATTATACCTATAGGTGAAGTTATCAATAGTTAATTCTGCACCAACAAATGTACTTACCGAATTGGGTCCTTTGGCAAAACATGAAAATGCAAGGATTTAGTTCTTGTATTTTATTAACAATTAAAAACACAATAATTCACCTTGATCCCTTAGATAAAATACACACACTAAAGTAACTATGTAAGCATTTAAGCGTTGAGTTTCTTAATCAATGATATAAAGAATAATCAATCGAAATCGAGTACTCAACAAGTTTTTTATTTAAAAAATTCTTAAATCCCATGTTATTTCAATGGAAAAACTTTATATTAAATTAATAGTATACTTAGGAGTAAAATTAAGGGCTAAAACTTTTTTCTCGATAAAAATAAATGTTCCTTCAAACCTAACCACCCTAGTGGAAATACATACTGCACCTACAAATACTTAGGAGTTAGATAGTAAAAAATTGAAGAAAAACTAATGAAAGAGGTCGTAGAGTCGAGTTTATTAAGTATTGCCATCAATCATCGTCAAGATCTCTAAAATGCGACTTTCTTCTTGTAAAAAACGCTCGCTAAATAGCGATAGCTGCGCCAGTTGTTTTATAGATATTCGTGGAACGTATTAATTTTATCAGCGGCCACCGGTCGCTGATTGTATAATCCGACCGGTAACAACACTATAAAAGGCAATTTATTAAAACGCGCCGAGCTACCGGTGCTTATAAATGTCACATTTTAAAATCTATTTAACCAACAATTATGGCCGTTATACGATAATTTATTAATCCTTAGTATCAGGCTAAATTGAATGTTATCGATAAAGTTACTTATGATATCCATTAGGTACTATGCTCCACACCTCAAAGCCCCACCACGTGACCACGTACGGAGCGCAGTCTTTTGAAAATTTGACATTTAAGGCTTTTCAGGTTATGTATCTGTCAAGGTATAGTCAATGAAAGAAATAATATTTATAGTGTTACCACTTATGTTTAGGGTTAAAAGTTAATAAATCTTTATAGTATCACAATAACAATGGTTGGTTTAAGAATTTAGCAATATAAATACTGCATTTAATAAAATTCCCAAGTGTAAGGTGCAATATAAGTTATATTTTTGTGCATTGGGTCTACATTTCTCCATAAAATAGTTTTAACTAAACAGCATTTATTAAAAAAAATATAACTTCTCTATTATGAAATAAGAATATCTGTATCAAAGGTAGGTTAATGTATAAGAACAAAAAATATCATCTAATTTTGTATTTTAAGGTTAGAAAAATCTATTTTGACCAAAATAAATAAGTGGATTATTTGAAAGAGTGTGCACAACATGTTAATATGGTCATAAATAAATACAGGTATACTAAATAATTGTTGAATATAGTTCAAATTAAATTGAAGCTTTTATACTCCTAACGACAAAACTTGTGCATACCTCTCAGCATACTTAATTTAAGTTAGATTATAAGAAAACAAACAATTTTTAGAGAAACTTGCAATGTGAAAATATTTCATACACCCATGACATGTGATTTTTTTAAAAATTTTTAATTTATAATGATTTTTTGATGTAGATCAAATTCAGTCGAAGCTTTTTAACTATTTGTATTGACAAAACTTTATGTAGGTACACTTTAAGCTGGATAAGAAAAACTACCACATTTTTAAATACCATATTATACAGTCTTTTAAATAATCCAAAATACTTATTTATTTTGGTCAAAATAAATTTTTCTAACCTTAAAATTACAAAATTAGATGATATTTTTGTTATAATATATTAACCTACCTTTAATACAGATATTCTTATTCCATAATAGAGAAGCTAGATTTTTTTAAATAAATGCTGTTTAGTTAAAATAACCATCCATTGTTATTTAATGTTATAAAGATTTATACATTTTTAACGCCTAAACATAATATTTCTTTCGTTGACTATACTTTGAGAGATACTGTAATGTCCACTATGTACTTTCGTAACCCGATTCTTTAAGTATACTGAAATACTTGTTTTGGCATATTCGTGATCGTCTAGTTAATTTACTTACTTTATAAAAATTAGGACTCTACGTTGTGTATTTACTTACATTGATAATAACGTTATTTTGAAATTGGTCAGGTTTAATGAAACACAAGCATTTAATTTTAAACCCCTGATTTAATTTAAGCAAAGACAAAGGGGTGGCCCGTTGAGTCAAAGCACAGGGAAAAGGGACCATAAAAACCCTGGCGACTTACACAATTCAAATAAAAATAAAATACAAAACAAAACATAGTTTTATAGGTCATAATCACTAGAATACAGTATAAATAATAAGTGAATAAAATAACATAAAAAGCAGATAAACATATTTCATATAATTTGGGTGTTTTTATCAATATTCAAAACATTTTGTACTCAGGTAAAATAGTTATAATAGAGATCGTCATTTTATGACGATGTGTTTTAATATTTGTTTACCTGGCGATGTGTTTTAATATTTGGTTACCTTACCACGCATCTTCGAACTATTGAACAAGGACACGATTTTATATAAATAAACTACAGCAACCACATATTTCTGATAGAGAGAATTCATATGCTTTAACCAAGTGCAGATATTAAACCGTTGCCAATAACCACACTATGGAACAATTGCATACTCTGCGAAGTGATATAACGACAGCTATGGTGGTCCTATCTCACTAAAGTGTCGCTATATCACAATATGTTCAAATATTCTTACAAAATCAATGCCCAGAACAAGACAAAAGTATTGCGAAAATATACAAACAATTCTGCACACAGAGTTTATATAGGTAATAACATAAAAACACTATTTTTCTTCTAAGGATAAATCCTTTTGAAATAATGCTAATATATTACCCATGTT